GAGCTGAGGACCAGGCAAAGAGAAGGTGTGACAGTCCCAAATGTGAGTGCACTGGCAACTCTTTAGCCAGGAGGCTCTTTCCCTATTTTGAGAGGTGCTCAGGGACTCGGCATGAACCTGCAGTTGTCTCCCAGATGCCACAAGCCAAGCCCATCTTTAGTGTGTCACCGAGTTTTACTTTGTAGCAGCCAGAGGCAGGGAAAGGGAGTTGCTTTGTGACTCATGAAGTCACATAGGCAGAACCACAAATAAGGGACTTCACTTGGCAAAAACCAAATTGCTTCAAGGCTATTCTTGGAAACTAAAGCATCACATCTTGTTTCTTCCCAGAAAAAAAAATAAAAATGCAGGAACCTTTCATATTTGGGAGGTAGCTGGTTTTATTTATATTTCATATCAGACTCCAAAAAGGCAACAGCTGGGGGGTGGTTGACAAGAAAGACTTTAAACAAGAGCTATTTCCCAGGATCCTCTGGTTTAATTCATCCCTGACCTTCTCCTTTTGGGGAAGGAGAGGGGTAGCCACCAAAAATATGGCACTCCATTTTCTGGAAGAAAAGGCTTGAAGCTCAGATACAGACTCCCAGAACCCTTCAGAGTCAGCCTTTCTATTTCATTAATACCATAAACACCAGGGATGTTTTCAGGTGTTACCCAGGCTTCCTGGTCTGTGTTTCCCCTCTGTATATATGGGGAACTTACAACCCAGAAGTTGAGTTGGGTGTCCAAGGAGACACAGATAGGAAGTAGATTTGAACTGAATTGAAAGCCCACAGCCTGAACTTGTAGAGAGAGAAATTCAGAGAGGAATTTGTTTCAGAGAGGAAGGGAGAAGGAGAGAGATAGAAATATCAATGATGAGAAAGAATCATTGATTAGCCTTTCCCCTTCCCCCCCTCCCCCGGGATGGAGCCTGCAACCCTGGTATGTGCCTTTGACTGGAATCAAACCTGGGACTCTTCAGTCTGCAGGCCGATCCTCTATTCACTGAGCCATACCAACTAGGGCAAAAATTTTAAAGTATATAATTCCTCAACCTTGGAAGTTAGTCCCAGGGGTTACCAATTGTGTTTCTTTTTCTCTTTATTTTGGTTTGATAAAGTTGGGGCCACTTGAAGAATAGTAATGAGTGCTGGTTATCATGTAGCTAGCAGGTGCTGAATACATCTAATACATTAGAATACATGGTCTAATGTAACCCTACAGCCCTGTGAGTGAGTGAGTGAGTGAGTGTTATCCCCACTTTACACACAAGAACACGGGGTGAGATAGATTCGATAACACGCCTCTGGTCACATGGCTAGCAAGAACATATTACTAGATCCACACCTGAGTTTGCCAGACTCTAAATATTTCACTGTTCTTCTGTGAGAAGCCTACCCACAGGGATATTAGTCATTGTTAGGGTCTTGGACTTAACTGGTTTTAAAGGTTGAGGCTAGACCCTTGAAATTAGGGAGGCAGGTCTGAGCCTGGTACGGGCTGTGGGGTAGGGTCCAAGGCAGCGCTTATCTTCTGCTGTCTGGCCCGTCTCCCTCCACCTCCCTTATCTCACTCTAGATTAGAGCTGGTTCCTAGAGCTCCCACGCCCACCCAGAGCCCTCAGCACCACCTTTGGCTCTTTCTACTGGAGGCCTGCGATTAAGCTGTTCATTATTCTTTTGTGGGGAGGAGAGGACGCCGCAGGGGGTTGGGAGGAGACAGGTTCTTCCAGTTTGTAAATGATTCTCTGGCAGTCTGGTTTGGCTCGATACCTCTACACACTTCACCATTTTAGATGAGGCAGAGCTGGCAACCTGCACAACTGATTTACAGAGCCATTTTTCAAACTGGTGAGTTCCCTGATGCAAACTCGCCCCATGTCCTGTGTACAGCACACATTTCCACATCTACCGAGTGCCTCCCAGAGCCAGGCTCTGCTGTCACTCGTGTATCCATCCTTCCCAGATGCCCTGCAAGGTGCAGCTGTCACCTGTCTCTTACAACAGAAGCCACCGAGGCTCAGAACTTTTGTGGCTTGTGTGAGGCCATGTGGGCAGTGAGGGGCCAGGCTGAGCTTTGGACTTGGGCCTGGGGCTTCCTCTGCACCAGCCACCCATCCTCAGAAAGGACTGCAGGACCCAAGTCCTTTTCTGTTTGCCAGTCAGTGGCTGCATTTTTTGTTCAGTGCCAGGCAGAGAAGTAGTTCCAAAGATAAAGACTGAGGATATTAATACTCTCTGTAAAGCAAACGAGCCTTGCTTTCTGTTTATGCTCTCTGGGTGGCAAGTGTTGGACGGGAGAAAAGTTGAAACACAGTAGGAGGCAGCGTTTATGTGAGCGATGCCAAAGTGAGCATCTCGGACAATAAGGAAGCTGGGAGAGCATCTGTGAGGGACAAAACATCGTACCAGTGCCAGGCATGCTCAGTGCCAGCTTTCCAAGTCTGTTGGATTTGTTGAGCTGCAGGGACCAGAGCAGCCAGGTACGTTCTCAGGGAGGATGGAGGGCCGGCTGAGGAGTGGAACTTGGCGAGGCCTGGGTCAGGGAACGTGCTGGTCTCCCTTCAGCCAAGCAAGGTGCAAGCATAGTGCAGGAGCACTCTTGGGGAAAAAAGGTGGGCTCCTATTTAATTGCTGTTATCCCCTCACCTGTCAGTACCTGGGAGACTGGTGTCTAGAGAGCGTGTCTGTCCCCAGCAAGCTGCTCCCTGCAGGTGGAGCTCAGCCAGGCTGCCACACAGGACTCACGGGCAAGCTGTCTCCTCGCTCTCTCCTGCCTTCCTCCTGTCAGTTGGGCAGCCACTTCCCTGCCTCCTTCTCCAGTCCACTCTCTGGCTGCTCATCTTCCCTGAAACTTATCTCAGCCACTGCTTCATCTCCTGCACCCCAGGGCTCACTGGAGAAGCCAGCCTCCTCCATGACCTGTCTGGGCGCCCCCACTACCCCTTGTCACACATCCTGAATGCCTGGCGAGTTGAATTTGAAGTCATTCTTGCAGCTGTCCTGGCTCTTTCCAAAGGCACACCTTTGTGTGGTGTTTGCATTGATCTAAACGTATGTTCCCCAGTTTTCAAAGTGAAAACTAGAAAGCATGTTGGCATTTCCCTTTCAGGGCTCCTCTGGTTTTGCTGGCCACCTCCTGCTCTGGGCTTGCATGCACTCTTCATATTCTACAAGGGCTTGTCCATCGTCTTGTAATCAACCTTTTTAAAATATATATATTATTGATTTTTTGCAGAGAGGAAGGGAGAGGGAGAGAGGGTTAGAAACATCGATGAGAGAAACATCAATCAGCTGCCTCCTGCACACCTCCTACTGGGAATGTGCCCATAACCAAGGTACATGCCCCTGACCAGAATTGAACCTGGGACCCTTGAGTCCACAGGTTGACATTCTATCCACTGAGCTAAACCAGTTAGAGCTATAATCAACTGTGCCTGTTAGGTGCCTGTCTCCCTCACTAGGCCTCCTTCTCTGTATTCCCAGCACATAGGGCAGGGTTGGGGAACCTTTTTTCTGCGAAGGGCCATTTGGATATTTATGACATCATTCGCGGGCCATACAAAATGACCAATTTAAAAATTAGCCTGCTATATTTGGTCAAACTTTTAATTAACTCACCCCTAACACCTTGGCAGGGCCAGACCAAAAGATTTTTTTTAGGCCTTCTACAACCCACAGGCTGGATGTTCCCCACCCCTGTCCTAGGGTGATTATGGCTCTTGCTAAGACATTGGTAATTGTTGCTGAGTGAGTGAGCAAAGGACTAAGGCAGAGGATAAACGCTGGTCTCTCTCTGCCTTTAGTATTATAAAGCCAGCCTTCAATCCAAATGCACCCATAATAGTGTTCCCAACTGGAGAGTGGGAAGCTGCCCAGCCTGAGGGCCTTGTCGCTGTGTTTGCTGACCTCCCCCTGCCAAGCCTCCTTCCGGGGGAGCTCAGTGTGCTGTATCCTCTCATTGACAGCCCCCTCCAGCCCACCCGACAGCTGGGCAGGCCCCTGCTCCTCCCTGCTTGTCTCCTTGCCCTCGCTTTGAATCCTAGAAAAATAGCTGGTGCTTTGGAAAATCAGCTCTAATTTATTTTTGTTCCTTTGAAACTTAAATGACTTTCCCAAGAAATGCCTGAGGTTAGAGTGGTACCGAGAGAAAGGATGATGGCCAAAACCCAGGCGAGCTATTTTTGTGATGTGAATGAACACCCATCGCATTTTTCCTTCCGTCAGCCTGAGCACTTGTCCCAAAGAGCTCGCGGCTCGGGCTTACAGAGCACAGGCGCCTCTCTGCACAGGAGGGGACCCACGTGCCTCCCTGTCCTTCTCGGATGGAGGTCGATGCTGTGATCCCAGCGGATACCAGGATCAGAGAGAAGTTTTGAGACGTCGCTGTTGTCTGTAGGGGAGAAAGGCCTGTCCCCTGGTAACCAATAAAAGAGACTTGGAGATTGATGTCTAGCAATTGGTGACATGGCCATGGGACCTTGGGAGGCATGTGCTTGGGTTTTGGGGGGCCTGTGTATTAATGTTGTGTGGCCAGGTTTCATTGAATCGGGCAATCAATTTGCAGCAAGAATTATAGAATTTTATTGGTGAGAAATCAAGAGTCTTTTCCTGTCTTTTTGTTGTTGCTGTTGTTTTCCTTTGACTAGTTACTATTTCTAGAACCATCTGGCTCACAGCAAAATTGACCAGGCAACAATGTTGACCTCAGCCAGCTATAGCTCAGAGCTATCTGGTTCTTGTCAGCCAGGGAGAGGAGTGGGGAGAGGTTGCCAGCAGGCAGCATTGCCAGGTTAGACAGTATGCCTGTACATTTTCTATGGATTTTTATGTTTTATATTACGTACTATTGGTTAGTATCTTAAGGGAATTTTATTTGCTCTCACAGCACTCATCCCTGCCCACTCTTGGAGCTCACCTCTGCCTGCACCTCCCTTTGCAGGTGTGACGTTCCTCCCGGTCCTTCATGGTGTCCTCCTCCATCTTCTCCACACCACTGCGCCACACGGCTCCTGAACCATGGGGGAAAACGAGGACGAGAAGCAGACCCAGGCCGGGCAGATTTTTGAGAACTTTGTCCAGGCTTCCACATGCAAGGGCACCCTCCAGGCCTTCAACATCCTCACGCGACACCTGGACCTAGACCCCCTGGACCACAGGAACTTTTATTCCAAGCTCAAGTCCAAGGTGACCTCCTGGAAGGCCAAAGCCCTGTGGCACAAGTTGGACAAGCGTGGATCCCACAAGGAGTATAAGCGTGGGAAGTCCTGTATGAACACCAAGGTAAGGGAACCCACGTGTGGGCGTTTCTTACCCTGGTGGGGCCTGTGGGCTGACTTGCTGAGAGGATAGGAAACTGGTGCCATTTGGACATGCTAAGGTTTTCAACAGGTGTGGGCGTGGGTGTGTTTTATTGCCTTGCTCCGTTGCAGGTTTTCTTTGTCCGCGTGTATTCTAATTGGGAGTTTCCATCTTATCGTGGTGGCTTTAACAACTCTTCTTGTGCCCTCTCCAAGGCAGAGAACATAATGGCAGGCTTGGTATTATCCTACTTCTATTACTACTGCTGGTAGCTACTGTTTATGGAGCAACATCTGTGTGCTAGCCACTTAATGAACATGGTTTCGTCGAACACGCACAGTAGTCCATTGGGCCATCTTAGAGAGATAGAAACTGAAAAGTCAATTATCCAGCTCAAGGTCACACAATTAGAGGCAACCTTGGTCTGATTCTAGAGCTTAAGCCCCAAATTCAGTGGAGATGCATAATTAGAGAGTTGTGTTCCCCTGGGAGCAAACATTTGAAAAAGATGCCCTGACTTTAACTGGCTAAGAAATAGGTCTTTGGTCCTGGCTGCCTTTTCCTCCCTCCCTCTTTCTCTTCTTTCCTAACCTCCCCACCTCTTCTCCAGCATGCATTTCTCCGCTCTGGATTATGATTGTGGTTAAGCCTCCACAAGCTGAATGCTTCCCCCCTTGTTTGGCCATAACAACATCTGTGAATGGGGCTGACCAGCCCATCCCATCTCAGGTAGCGCTGCAGTACCCATCAATTCATGGGCAGCCAGGAATCACGACTTCCTGGCCAGGCCTTGGGGTCTGTCTGCCCTGGGCGCTGGTCCAGACTGGATGTTTAGGTTAAAAGTGAGCATGCTGTATTTAGACCTCACAGGAGATAGCGCAGCCAGAGCCCTTGGAATTCTAGTCGGTGCCAATCTCAGACAAGAGGATTGAACTCTCCATGGTGATCGGGACTGTTGTGTGTTTGTTTTGGTGATGTGGAGCCTTTGAGTCCACCGTGGGATACGGCTGCTTTCCCTTGCCCCTGGGGAGACAGCTGCCAAGCTCCCCCGAGGCTGGGAGGCACAGCTGTATGGGGCCTGGGAAGAGCATTGCATCAGACCCATCGCTTCAGCCCAGAGCACCCTAGCCACCCTGCCCATAACTTGCCAAGCTTCAGCCTTATACAGAGGAGATGGAAGTGTTAAAGAAAGGGGGGGGGGGGGCAGAAGGCACCTGTATCCTTGTGGTGCCCACACGTGGGTTCCCTTACCTTGGTGTTCATACATGACTTCCCACGCTTATACTCCTTGTGGGATCCATGCTTATCCACCCAGCACCTCCCTTCCTAGTTGTAATTTTGTGGTTCATAGTACACTGGGCAAGTTCCTCAGACATAGAGGCAGGAGAAGCTTTTAGCTTCAAAAGCATTACCGTTCTCAGTACTTGCACATGGTGCCATAGCCCTTGCTGGGTGGCTCAGTTGTTTGGAGCATCATCTCATACATAAAAGATTGTGAGTTCAATTCCTAGTCAAGGCATGTATCTAAGTTACATGTTTGATCCTCAGTCAGGGAGTGTACAGGAGGCAACTGATTAATGTTACTTTCTCTTTTTCTCCTTTTCCTCTCTCTAAAACATCATCCTCAGATGAGGAAAAAAATAAAAAAGTGCCATAGAAGTCAGGTGGCTGGACTGCAATGTTCTCCGGGAAAGTTTTCAGAGACTTTATTTTATCAGGAAATGTATTGCCCCTTCTAGCTTTTGGGGAGCTCCGTTGCAGATCCAAAGACAGACCTTCAGAGGGAGTCAGCCAGCAGAGGGATGGAATGGAGGGCTGACCACCATGAAATGTCCTCCTTTTAAAAATGACTAGCCGGTTGCCTGGCCTGTCTGGCCAGCCCCTATTTTACAAGCTTTGATGGCTTGAAACAGAAGAGTCCTCACAAAAAGTGGTTGATAGGTCACCATTGGCGCCTGTGCTACAAAGAGGAAGAACTAACATCTTCAGCGAGTGAGGCTGTGTAAGAGTGATTCTTGCCCAGGATTTTTTACACCCTTCTTAGGAGGAGGAACAAAGACATCACAAATGTGTGAGAGCCCTTCTCATAAAAACTACCTGAAGAGTAGAAAATACATTTGGAAATGAATTCTAAATACAGTGTGACTGTATGAGGCCACTTCAGCTGCACATTTCAGAAACCATATAAGCAGGAAGGCCCGGACACTCAAAGTCTATCCCAACCCCTCTCCTTCCATCTATCTTTGGATGTTGTGTTTTGTTTTGGCTCCATCCCTCCATCCTGCAGACATATTTTTCCTATATTGGTAGTCTCTCTTTCATCTTTATAGTGCCATGACACAGAAGGCTAGAACCTTTCTCTTCCTGCTCAATATTGAAAAATGTCCTGGGGAAGGATCCCTATGGGCTCACCTCTGAGCCAGTTACTGAGGCCAAAGCCAGGGGACCTGACTACTGTCTTTGGCAGCCCTTTCAAGCATTGCCTGATTGATGGGAGGGAGGAGCAGGTCCTCAGGGACATGAGGGGAGAGACAGATAAACAACAGGTGTGCTTCGCTGTGACTGTTTACTTGCAGTCCGGTTGCACTAGAGGCCATTTCCATCCTGGACTCACAGGGATGGTGGTGCTCAGGTCTAAGAGCCTGGCACTTAGACTCCTTGCTCTGAGTAAAGCAAAACACAGAGCACGGTCCTCCTGTTCTTTGGACCTGAACAGATACAGTCTTGCTCACATGCCTCCTTTAGGTACTCTTTGATACAGAGCATTAATTAGCTAAATAAGAAATGCTGGGCATTAGCATGCAAGTGGCTCGTCATGGAACACAGGTGTGTCAGGTCCCAGGCAAACAGCCAAGCTCCTGATTAGCCATACAAAGAGTGGGAATGAATGAAATTCAGTCAGGACTCTGACCTTGTGCTGAAGTGGACACATTTTAGCCCCACCTGGAGTGGATCTGGGTTTTAGCATTTCATAAGCATTTATCAGTCCCTACTATGTGCTAAGAACTATGCTGCTCCTTTCATACCAGCAGTATGTGTGGGGTGTGCATGTGTGTGGATGTGCATGTGTATGTGGTTGTGCATGTGTGTGGATGTGCATGTGTATGTGGTTGTGCATGTGTGTGGATGTGCATGTGTGTGTGTGCATGCATGTAGATGTGCATGCATGTGGGTGTGTGTGTTGGTGGTGATGGTGGGGGAAGATCAGTGACCAGAATCTGTTTAGAGAAGAAGGCTTCAGGTGCCAGGGTCAGGAAGAAGGACCTAAAAGTTCACTAACGTGGCTTAGGTGCTGGTTGACTAATCTAACTTGGGATCATTGTTTGTTATTATTAACTATTATTTATGAGGATTTTGCCAGTCACTTAATCATTCTTTCCCTGGGTGTGATCTGTTTGGATATGAACCTTGGAATGAACCAAGGATCAGGCCAAATGTATTCTTTAAGGACTGCTATTGGCTCTGTATTAGGGCAGTACCTGGATCAAATGCCACATCCAATTGTGTAATGTTCCCAGGAAAAATACCCAAAAGAAAATGCGAGATATAATTTAATATGAGAGTTGCCATAACCACAAAATCATGGAGTCTGTTCATTTATTTTATATGTACCTTTTTAAAACTATGTGGTTTTTATTGATTTCAAAGAGAAGAAGGAAGAGGGAGGAAGAGAAAACTCAATGATGACAGAGAAACATTGATCAGCTGCCTCCTGCACGCCCCCTACTGGAGATTGAGCCTGCAACTCGGGCATGTGCCCTGACCAGGAATCGAACTGTGACCTCCTGGTTCATAGGTTGATGCTCAACCCCTGACTCATACTGGCTGGGCAGTGTACCTTGAGGAAAGGAACTTGAGAGAATGCTGTATACAGTCTCTCTATTTGACAGGTGACAAACTGGGCCCAACAAGCTAAATGTGTTTGTCTGAAGCTAGTGGGTAGCATTGACAGAACTTGGGCTCTATTTATTGGCTTGCTTATTTATTTATTTATTTATTTATTTATTTTTGCTCATTTATTTGTTATATATTTCCCTTGTCCTGAACATTAGTAGGTGTTTGACAGGGGAGATAGTGTGAAAGATTAATAAGAAGTTCTCACTTGAACTTTTTATACTGGAGACAGAAAAGCCATTATTTTTGTAATTATTCACTTAACCATTTATGAGGTGAATAATTATTGAGCAGTTACTGTGTGCCAGACACTTGTCTAGGCACCCATCAGCCACTTAATATCTCTGTGGCCCTGAGAACTTACTTAAATCTCTGAACCTCAGTAGCATTCTCTGTGGAATGAAGTACTTTCTTCATGGAGTGACTGTGAAAATTAAAGAAGGTTCGCTTTGTCAAGTGTTTTTAGAATTGATGTCTAGTACATAGTAGTAAGTGATCAGTAAATGTTTAGCCATTATTATTGTTAATATCCTAAGTGCTATTAGAGAAGTGTGTACACTGTTCTACAGGAGGAGTATGTGTGATTGGGGTCATCTAGAAACGTTTCCTGGAAGAGGTGGTATGATTTGAGGCCTGTTTACACTAATCACCACAATGCCACATGGAGCACGTGGGTGTGCATGAATGTGTGTGTTGGATATTATATTTGAACCTGAATAAATTCAGGTAAATAGGAGTTTGCCTTGCATCGCTGAGGGGAGAGCTAGAGGGAACACAAAGCAGAGATACAATCTAGGACTAGGTAGAGTGTTGCTGGTGAAAAGGGAATGAAGATACATGGGGGGAGAGGGGAGAAGGTGAGAGCTAGAGAGAGCAGAATGGGTGGGAAACCAAAGAGAAAGGCCTCCTGGGGCCATGTGGTGAAGACTGGATCCTGCAATCACACTGATGACCTAGGAGACCATTGAGGATGATCCCCGATTCCCAATCCAGGGTTTTTTCCACAAGTCTCCCTGAGATGGCTCATTAATTACAGCTAACTGATTCAGGGTAGAAGCCATTTGTATATCATCGCCATACCAACCTGC